ACTCAACAGTGCGGGTAGGTTGCCACAAGGAGGCGGCACGTGGTGACTCTATTGTTGTCCATTTTCATTAGGTAAGTAGAAACACGATTTCAGGCTAACAGAACACGTTTTGCACCATTTCATAAACCACAAAAAATTGGGCTGGACTCCAATTAGTTCCAGCTGGGCCAATTCAATCAGGCCCAATGTCATTGCATCATTGTGCCATATTTTCTCTTCATACTCACTTTGAAAAAGGTGGTGCTCCGCTTTTAGTTTGGATACTAATTTAACTTATATCCCGAACTTAATAATATGAATCAAAAAAATATTAGGTCCAATCAAAGGAATTAGGGTGTCAATTTGGTTTATCGACTCGAGCTGCCCATGACTCGACACGGAAAAAGCTTGAATCGGCCCAACTCACGGCTCAGGTTGAGTCGTATTTTGGAGCGTCGGGGCATTTTCGGCCAGTGAGCAAGTTTATAAAAATAATAATAGTAAATAAATAAATAACAAAGCTTCACATAGCTGTCTCTATTGCATGCAGCTACAGTAGCTGTCATTTTGTTTAAAAATAAAAATAAATAAAAAAATCATGAGCCGTCTCGCCTCGGCTAGATAAAGCCCTAGTCAAACGCTCGGGTCGAGCAAACGCTCGACTCTGACAAAAAAAATAAGCACGAGCCTGAGCCTTGGGTTTCAGCATGCGAGGTGGCTCGGCTCGACTCGTTGACATCCCTAAAAGGAGTCAGGTAAGTAGAAACACGATTTTAGGCTAATAGAACACGTTTTGCATCATTTCATAAACCACAAAAAATTGGGCTAGACTCCAATTAGTTCGGGCTGGACTCCAATTCAATCAGGCCCAATGTCATTGCATCATTGTGCCATATTTTCTCTTCATACTCACTTTGTAAAAGGTGGTGCTCCGCTTTTAGTTTGGATACTAATTTAACTTATATCCCGAACTTAATAATATGAATCAAAAAAATATTAGGTCCAATCAAAGGAATTAGGGTGTCAATTTGGTTCATCGACTCGAGCTGCCCACGATTCGACACGGAAAAAGCTTGAATCGGCCCAACTCACGGCTCAGGTTGAGTCGCATTTTGGAGCGTCGGGGCATTTTCGGCCCGTGAGCAAGTTTATAAAAATAAAAATAATAAATAAATAAATAACAAAGCTTCACATAGCTGTCTCTATTGCATGTAGCTACAGTAGCTGTCATTTTGTTTAAAAATAAAAATAAATAAAAAAATCATGAGCCGTCTTGCCTCAGCTAGATAAAGCCCTAGTCAAAAGCTCGGGTCGACCCTAAATTTTTGGGTCGAGCAAACGCTCGGCTCGGACAAAAAAAATAAGCAGGAGCCTGAAACTTGGGTTTCAGCATGCGAGTTGGCTCGGCTCGACTCGTTGACATCCCTAAAAGGAGTGAGAGCACAAACAATACTTTCATCAAATTTCTACAAAAATAATGGACCTCACTAATTTTGCACACCTCTATGAGAAGAAAATAGATGAAATTTGGCATGGCCGAATTGGAAGATGATATTCTTTTGAAGCAATTGAAGAAAATTAACAAAGAGTATGCAAACTCCAATATAATCCTCTTACATATTTCATATTTCTTGTTCAAGCAAGCTATTTCACTCATTGGAGATTTAATGTCGACTTGCTTTAAAGTTACCCGACTTGAATGATCTCACTAGTATATCAACAAAGTTCTTATTGAATAGGTGCAAAGAACGGAATTGTGGCAATTAACGACAAAAGTGACTTGTAAAGGAGGAATGAAAAGTCTTCGACATCATTACGTCTTAGTGAGTTGATGCATGAAGGAATAATGTTTATAGTGTAGCTTCAACGACAGTTTCGGGAACTAAGATAGTCAAAACTTAGCCGAAGCAATGAAGCAACTAGGAAGAATGAAGAGATTATATAATTCAGTGGTTATAGCTGCCAAAATCGGTTTGTGTAAGTTTTGCTGGTGATTCATTGCTAGAACTTTATTTGATCGACCATATACTTTTATTTATTAACTAATCAATAGCTATATGATAATATATTTACAAAATTAATGAATATAATTAATATTACAATAAGGTTTTAACGTTAAGACTTAATGTTCAAATTGGTACTATAATTGACTTTTTGAGAAAGATATATGAAATAAAATATTTATGAAAAATTACATTTCAATTTGGCCAATGCAATTATTATATCGTTTAATGTGATTTAATATGTCAGTTGAACTTCAAGAAAAAAGGATGAGAGGAAGGTTTTAAAAGTAAGAGAGAAATATAAAATTTATTATATAATTAAAAATCACGGGTTATCTATTAATAAAAAATGAGGGATAATTGCAGCAAAAGTCCCAAATCTTTGAAATATTAGTAGATTTTTTCCAAATATTTGATTTGTTGCAGCTGTCACCCCTAACATTTCCAACAATTGCTTGTGAGGCCCTTTCGGATGGGTTCCATCTATTTTTCCGTTAGTTAACCTCAAAAATTAAGTTTGACCTTATTTTTAATCAATTAAAAGGGGGCAAAATGGTAAATATCTATTAAAATAATTAAAATTGTTATCTAACCCCTGAATGATAATTGCAACCAGATGCTTGAAATTTAACAAATTGAAATGACATCGCGGGCGACGCCGGACCTGACAATGGCGATGTCGTGCGCTTTGCAGCGGTGGATGTCGCCCCTGCTGCAACGAAGAATGCTGCTGCGTAGAAAAACTATAAAGTGCTTCGAACATTCGTCCGTGTAGAAAAATAGCAGCGCGAAGCGCTGGAAAGTTACCGCAGTGTGAAGCGCCACTAAAGTGGTGGAACGTCGCCTCTGTGACGTGCCACCACATGATGTCGCCAGGGACGATGCCGAAAAATAGCTGGAGTTAAGTTTCTGAAAATTTCAACTTGAAAGATAGTTACTGCATATATTATAAGCATTCGAGTGACCGTCCCATTGTCTCTCGTGTAAATGAAAAATCTTAAAAAATGAATACAAGTGAAGTATAGTCTAAATATGTCATAATAATAGTTTTAAACATATTAAAAAGAAAAAAAATGGTATATTTGAAAACATTAAATTTCATTTTTTACTTTTTTTTTGGCTAGATGAGTCTTGTATTTTTTTTTCAAAATAATTTTACATGTAAATCCCAAAAAATAAAAAAAAAATCATTTTTCACATAATTATTTCTTAAAATGGGGCTCAAATAGGGCTTAATCTGTCATATCCAGTCGAGTACCTTGTACATCTATCTATATGTATAGAAAAATGATCTCACAAGTTAGGACCAATAGCGTAATACATCAATTAATTGATAAATAAGTTCGTGATAAATCTCAAAAATTAAATCATCCATCAATTGATTTGTAATGTCACCGATGTTCAGCATAAACTAAACAGTGTGTTCTCGCATGCGCACACATACTCCCGTTGATAGATCAATAAAGTGTGATAAATTTATTCTTTCTCAATTAACTCCTCTCTAAACTAAATTATGCTTTATTATTTTTCCATAATAATTCTCTTATTTGGCCTTCATTTTCTAAAATTCATTTTTTCTCAAACTCATTTTATCAACATTTAAATCAAATATTTCATCAACTTTTATAAAAATTTACTAAAATATTGACAGCCCTACATTATGCAGATGATAAACTATTGACAACCATATGTCTCTCTCTACAAAATGCAATTTTTTATGAACACTCGAATCTTGTTTAGGAAAAAAGTGAATTCATGACCAATTTTGCACGTGTCTCCAAATGTATGAATATAATTTCTTAAATCTTTCTTCATATATTATTGCCATAGAAACGTATGAATTTGCCATTTTGTGGTTTCACCTTTTCATTCTAATAGCCTGCACTATCCATACTGTCTCCATAACTTCAAAATGCTCTCTTCATTTTCTTCTGATAATTTTTCTGTAAGCAGCCTATGCAAAACCCTTACGATACTATATTTTTTGGTTGATAATATTATTGAAGTTCTTGCAAAGTTAGATCGTGCCAAGAGCAACTACCTTGGTCACCAGTCTGAGTTGATTCAGGCCAAATATTTGGTACTCATTCAACCGAGCTTTTGGTGGAGGTAGATTCATTTTGAGTTTGTACCCTTTGGCAAAAGCCTTGTCAAATGAAATGGAAAATTGTCTGAGGAGACATGCCTTTGGCAAAAGCCTTGTCAAATGAAATGGAAAATATTCTGGGGAGACATGCGCGTTTGAATGGACGCAAGAATTCTGCTGATATGACCACAATGGCCTCCAATCTATTGCTGTCTGCTGATCTTGGAGTCGACTTCACCCTCCATCAAGGTATGCACCAGGTAATGTCTCGTCCAAGCTTTTTAATTAGGATGCTTCCCGTTTGTTCGTGGACGGAATTTTGAATAAATAAACGCGTTTTCTTTCTTATGATTTAAACTTTTACATGAGATAGTTCAAAATATTAGCAAATCAAGCAACTAAAAGTTGTGAGATAGACTCTTCTCCACCAGTGTTTTTTTTCACGTCATATCTCTGATGAATTTTTTTTTTTTTCTCTATCTCCTATAATTCTACAACAGTTATTTTGATATTCGTTTATCATCGATCGAAATAATTCATTTAAGTCGATATTAAAGCAATAATAACAACTTGATAAATTTATCGTCTCGAGTTAAGATAAAGAATGCTTCTCACAGAGTTGAGGGAAGTCGCACAATTTCTTTAGGTATACATTTTTGTACATTCATTCTGGTGTATCGCAGAGCTGTGTACTGGTTCTTCAAAGAAACCAAGTTTATCCGTTTACTAGGAAAATAAAATCTCCAGGCTACAAAGAAATGATAAAATAAAACCAAATAACCGTTTCACCATTATTAATATCAATACACCAACCGTGTGAATATCTGAAGACCCTGAATAGCTGAATAATTTCGATAAACTTGATAAATCCCAAGTAAATGACTTCGATAAGTTGTCGACAAATGGGAAAACTCACATTTACTTCACGGACCTCAGCATGAAGCAGAAGTTCCCACCTGTGACTCTACATCGTGAGCCTTTTGAATTCCTATCCAACGAGCATAATCAACCCACCTGCAAAACATTTAAAGAGTTTATGAAAACATGCAACAATGACGGTGTTTAAGAATTCGTGTAGGCAAAAGGCGAAGAATCTTACAACAAGGAACCCAAGAATGTGTTGCCAGTTCGCACAGCAAAGCAAATTGCACTCAAGAATAACTTGTGCCGATGCAGCAAAGGCTCTAACATCCTTTGTTCAATCACACCAGCCAAAACCTGGTATCTGTTCGATATAGGGAAAAATAATTAAGCAGAAAGTTGGTATCGAAGTCACTTTCTTTTATCTAAATGCAAATATTAATCCAAGGAGATCATTTCAAACTCCCTGCATCGTGTATTTGTATGCTCGAAGGTCGAAAAATAAACAATTAAATATCAGACATGTCAAAATGCACCAAAGCAATACAGCATAGTAATTCTAGAACGTCAATAAAATTCTACAAGTTTCATGAACATTGGAAGATAGTCAGAGTCCCCTTTGTATACTTTGGCAAACTTCTAGAGTGATATTCACCAGACAGTGCCACATATATTAGACAAAAATTCACTGAGAACTAAATTACTGGCACTAAAAACATAAAGCGAAAATAAAAGTGCTCGAGAACAAAGAGAGAGAACTCTCACAATCGCTAATACATTATGTGTTAATGCCTGAAAGAGTCGTAAACTTTTTCATCTGAACTCAAATGATATTGTAAACAAATTGAAGAAAAATTTAATGCTTGAATGATTCTTAAATTTTTTCCACTAAACTCAAATGAACTCGTGAAAAAATTGAAGAAATATTAAAGAAAAGTTGTGCTGATTTAATAATAGAGCGCAATCTGGGCTTGGCTAGAATAAGAATGGGAATAGAGAACTGTGCAAGCACTAGTATGCAAGACGTAAATTTACCTATGCATGTATTTTGAATGATAGCTATTGATGTCAAAATAGATAGGGATCTTCGTGTCAAATACATGAAATCATCACCAACGGATGATTTGGAAAACAAGAGCTGGTTAATGTGCCCGGCAAACCCCAGGGGAAGGCTGAGCTCACTCCAACAGTCAAGATTAAACCAGTATTAAGTGCGTGAGAGAAAATGAATGATATGTTATAGGTTCCATTATGATATAATGTGTGATTTTTTTGGTTAGAATTGCCGTTTGGACCTCTGTCCCTTCCCCCCTCTTCCCCTGGAGTGAGACAGATGGGGCTGCTTTTAAAAGCAGGCAGTTTATAGAACAGGTAGAATGTCCCATCTACTATGTTCAGGAGTAGGAAAAATCTTCAGGCCCTTAACTAACGTGATCGGCATGCCCTGAAGTTGGGGAAATTTTTTCCATTCCTTACTAGATTGTGTCCCCCTGCTGCATGATTAGGTAATGAGAGTCATTATAGTAACTCCCGAGTTTCCATGCTCTCGGAAATGGTGCATAAGATAGGCATGACGTAGAATCAACAGAAAAAGTAAAAGCCATCAATATAGGTTTAGTTATAGGAAAATGATGCCATAAAAGGTAATCTTCGTAACACATACCGAAGGTTGCTGGATACTGCCATATATACACCGTAGGCAACACTTGTTGACAGTACAGGGACATTCTCCACCTCATCTCCAGCAGAGTGGTCAACAGCCTTTCGAGCATTTATCAATGCATTTGTCACAACCGTCCCAACCTAGAGATGAATGAATGAATAATGTCATGTTCCTTATGTCTGACTCCATAGTTATTAGGTTTATAAATATTTACATGGAGTAGACATAAAATCTACAAAATATTTATTAAAGTATAAGAAGACTTGATGATCACTCATCATATATAGGAGATAAATACAGAGGGATTCTACTTTTTCTTTTTCTTTTTTCTTTTCTAAAGGGGCTGGGGGAGAGAACATATGTTAGGTATAGTAATCATTGGGAAAAATCAAACTAATTTTTTCCTTGTCACCAGAGATTTTGATTTTGCAGTTGACTCTTAACATAATGAGTAATCATGAGAATCAAAAAAATATATTTTTTTACCTTTTTATATTCTTCAACATCATTGTCCTCGTATGCGCAAAAAACATATATTTAATCCTAATTTCACATCCTTACTCAATGCCTTTGGAACTTACAATGAAATAAGGGATATAATCTAGGTACAATTTGATGTACTTGCTCATGTCTAATGGGACAAGAACCTAATTCAAACTTGGGGGAATATTTACGAATCAATGAGCATAGTGAAATTCAGGCCTAGATATTATTAGAAGACCATTAAAAATATCATGAATTTGTCTTGATAGATTATGCGTCTTAACAATGTGATATGAAAAGGTAGCAATATAAATAATTTATCCGTGATTGGAAGCAAATGTCCAACCCCTGTAAAGATCTCTAAACATGAAATTACCAGGGATGAGGTGGTGCCAACAGCAAACAGCTTTGCTCCATTACGCTGCAAAAAAAGTCGTGGCAATAGTAAATTTGTATACAATCTTCATTCTGTGAGTATTTCAAATGCAAACTAAGAGAGATTTCCTCACCACTATGGCACCTATTCTCTGTAACAATGAATAAGAGGTTCCACGCAATGCAACCTATAAATGAAATTTACAACATCACACCTTTTAGTTCACATTACATATATCACTAAGACGTGATCATGTAAGATTAATCCAACAAGTGAAACTGTGAAAGGAGAAATAGTTACCTGGAATGCATTATCTGGACAGTTGTAAAAGAACTTAGCAAGGCGTCCAGCAGTGACTGCAATAGGCGGTCGGAGAGAAACAGTAGGAGCCGGAAGATAGACCAGCATAAAATCTGCAATTATTGCCATCACCTGAGAAGAACACAAACTAAAAATATAAAGACATAAATCAAAATGTAATTATATGTGCAAATAATTTGGCTGCTTTGGACCCCAAAACAGAAATTCGGTTGCAAGTGGTTTTTTTACTATGTTGGGCTAGATTTTTCGGGTACATTGTGTATACCTCTTGCATAAATTCTCTTTTTATTTTTAACAAAATTTTGACTTAGGAACAACAAAAATATTTAAACTGAACCCTCAAAATATCTAAACCATCAATGGACATGCAAATTGACAACAGAAATCAATCGCCTCTTTCAATTTAGGATGTACAGCTTTGAGAACAGGACAGGGCTAGACATTTATAATTTAACTCGCTGGGAAATACGAATTGTTAAAAGGTTTAAGGATTTTAAACAAAGGGAGTGGAGACCACAGAAGTAAGTCAGCCTTTGGACCAACGAATGCCATAAGCTACACCTAGCATGAGGTTAAACTTTCAACGGAAACTTTATATCAGACGAGTCATCCTTCAAAAAGGAGCCACCGAAGAAAAAATCCAACATTAAGTTAAAAGCTGAGAAAGACAAAAAATTATAATGAAATGATGAGAAGCTACCATACCACATCAGCAAAAACAATTTCCAGCTCATTGAAAAAGTTTTCCTTCCGTCGCGAATATTCTGCAGCAGTCTGAATAAAGCCATTAAATTGATAATTGACTTATTAAACAAAAGTTCAGGGCAGGGCTTTAAAAATTAAAAAAAGAAGCATGATCTAAACATACAAATGGAGAAGTTTTACACTAATATGTAATTCTATCACAAAAGGCCAAATGTGAAATGAAAATATTCTTCCGATAAAAAAATTAGCCTAATTTCTGTTTCCTTGAAAGGAAGAAATAATGTCACTTCTTAAAAGAAACTTGAAACTTCATCTAGCCTCGTGCAGTGCCACTGTGCCAGTATAAAATTGAAGTGCTGGATCAGTGATGACGGCTTTATACAGGGCTGCAGAATAGGTTTCCCTAAGATGAGTGTCAAACAGGTCTCATGCTTACCCAGGTCCCTTGTCTATAAAGCACGCTAAGCAGTTAAAGTATATGGAGAATAAGACATAAGTAAACAGACACGGGAAAATATATGAACTGATGAAGGAGAATTGGAAAGTACTAGTGAAAAAGAACGTACATGAATGTAGAAAATCATTATCTGATTAAACAAACAGCATTTGCAATATTTACACATTAAACAAGACTTTGTGCATTTTTTCCAACAGTAAAGAAATATAATTTACTATTTGTGAGGAACGCCGATGGCAAAAAGAAATGTGATTTCAAGTTTGTGAAGACCAAGATCAAAAGAAACAATGACTCGCTGAAATGCAAGCAAAAGATGTAAATTATGCACTCTTGGCCAATGGATATGAGAGGTCAGCCACACAAATACTCGGAACACTGTAAGGCATAGGCTATGGGTTGATGTAGTTCTTTCGTTATGCCATGAAGAATGAGAAAGAAGATTGGAAAAAGGGAGTGAGCTATTGAATTGTTCTCTTTCTATGTGGCATCTGAATTCATTTTTTTTTTCCTCCGAAGAATTATTCAGTATGTTAAGGTACAGGAATAATCTTTTTTTGAAAGGTAGTACAGGAATAATCTTTCATGATCGTCTTCTCTGAGTATATTACCTCCTCCTAATAGACATAGCTATTTTTTACAAACACCTCAATAATATCTTGTATTTTTAAAAAAGCATGGATAATAATTCAGGGTAGGATTTTTCTTGAGGGAAAAATATCAAGTGAACAATGCCTGATCAATGCACCACTTTTTGAGGCGGCCCTATACGTTTAACCACACTCATTAGCTATTGCACTTCACGCTGAGAGCTTCATTTTGCCCAATTCGTGAATCAGCAAAAAAAATTCAACCAAAATACAGTATGCATATAGTTAAAATAAGCAAGAAATAACCTTTAATTGCTAAAGATAAATTGTTTACATATTGTAAATTTAAAATTACTGATACTACTACACACTTTATCACTAAACTACTTAAGATATAACCATTTGCACTATATCAATTATCAATTCAGTAACACATTATTTTCTATTGTATCAATCTCAAAAGCATTTTTATCATAAATAAATTATAAATCACCCTTACCAGCAACAATATAATCAGAAAATAACCCCTCAATCAATTAAAAATAAAAATATGTAAGATCATGCTTTAACCGTCTCATCTGAAATCCAACAAATACAGGACATGGTAAAAGGAACAATCTTTAACATATACTAATGAAGAATATAAATTCATTTCCTTAGATTCGATTACCTTGGTGAAAACTCCAACGCCACATTCAATGAAGACTTTAGCCAAGAAGAGATCATCAGCCAATAATCTCTCCTTGAAACCACCAAACTTCATCAACCAAGAAAGCAAACCAGATTTTTCCAATTCAAAATATCTCAACAAAATCGATCCCGGTATTCTTCCATCCTCAATTGCTGCCTTCAAATCCTTAGGCAAACTCTCAAGACTCCTACTGGCCTCAGCTAACGCCATAAAGGCCTCTTCTTTGTTGTTCTTCTTGTTACTGTCATCGCTCCCATCATTATTATCTCCGCCTCCGCCGCCTCCTCTGCCGTTGTCGCTTCCTCCACTGCCACCGCCACTCGCAAGGCTGTAGTCAATATTACTGTTGGTGGAGGCTGCATTGGTGGAGAAGGCTAAGAATACGGGGCGCTTTTGGGTGTAGGTTAAAGAAAGTGAAAGGTGGGCGGTTTTTGTTGGGGTGGGGGACAGGGATATAGACGGCGGTGAGAAACGAGAGGAGTGATGCATAAAGAGAGAGCGTGGCGTCGTTGGTGAGAGATTGAGGGTGGTGGAGATGGCCATTTTGGCGAGGGGTCGCGGCGGCGTTGACAGCAGCCGGCAGATGGCGGCTGTTGACGGGTCTCTCTAACAAATTGTCTGTCTATTTATTGTTGGCGCTGCAGAGACTTTCGAGAGCTGTGCATTTTGTCTTAAAGGTTTGTTTAGGTTGGTGTCTGGCTGTCTGCATAGTTTGTATCGAGTACACCCGGTCTACCTGGACCAGAAAATTCCAATACGTTGCTGCTTTAGTTAGGGCATTTACTTACCAATTTTGTAGCTTTTAATTTCATAAAACAATTATTCAATGTGCCGCCGGTGGGTTTGAGCACCCCGTATAGATACTAGAGTAAAAATGAGCAATATATTTCACTATCATGTGAACATATATATACTACATAACATATTTTTAAGGTTATGTCTCTTTCTAATTTTTTATTTAATTTTTAGCCATCTGACTGTTGTCATGGGTTCCAGCCGTAATAGTTGATTGTCTCTCTCTCATGTGGGGCCATCATGGATAAGGTAACGGTCAATTTTATAATTTTAATCTGCAAAAAATTCGAACCAGACACAGTCTTAATAACACAAATATAAAAGAGAAAACGACTAATAGAAAGAAGCACAAAAATTATCGAGCACATTTGTATCTCCATTTTCACTGAGCATGTTTGAGTATACTTAACCATGTTTGGTGAAAATTAAAATTAGATTTTTATTAGATTTTGATAAAAAGTAATGCTCATACTGAAAACTATCGATAGTCACCTTGCATTGCATACGTATGACGATTTGTTATTTGATGTATGAGATAACAAAAAACTACCATATCAATGCATCACATAACAAATTGACACATATATATCACATAGGGCGACTACCGATAGTTTGCACTATAAATAGCATTATTCTTTAAGAAAAATTGATGAAATGTGCAATTGAAATTTTTTGAATTATATGAAATATGTGATTAAAATTAATTATTTACTTTAACTTGGATTAAAATCTAAATTTTAATTCTTACCAAACATGGGCTTAGAAGAAGCAAAGAGTCATATTTTTTATCCGTTTGGAAGGGATTCTTTTTTTTTTTTTTTTTAATTCGTGTAGAAAACCTTCCGAAGAAGTTATCTCAAATCAATTTTCTCTCAAAACTCATTTATTTTTAGTATGAAAAATGTGAAGCCCAAATGAGATTTAACACATTTTCAAATGAAATGGTACAATTAGTGTTAATTGTGACGAAATATTTGAGTTCAAATATTGTCGTCAACCATTTATAAAAATTGTATGTGTGCTCGGCTTTTAAAGAAATAATAAACATGCCAGAAAATAAAATTATTACATATATATATTATTATTATTATTTTATTTTTTTTTTGGAATTTGGGTCGAATTATTTTGTTATTTGCTCATAAATGCGACTTCGGAACCTCCGTCCATAAAGACGCGTCAACGCCAATTTGGTGGTGGGTAGGTGTGAGAGTATCGCCACCTTAGTCGTTTTGTGCAAAGTCACACGTTGGATCTTTTCACTTCTTTTCCTTTCACTTATTTGTGGTTGAGCCCTCAATGATTCAGTAATTGTGAATGTTACCCCAGAAAATACTTTTTATTGCTTGTTGACGACACTAATCAAGAAAATTTGGGGATTGTTTGGTTAAAATTTTATTCTTTATAAATATGAGCCAAACATGAGCTAAATCTTGCATGGTTTCTCATTTTCATTCATTTGTTTATTTTGATAAACAAGTAGATTGTCGACGAAATTTGAAAATATCCTACACAAAAACTATAGATGAGTATATATGTCTAAGCACGAGGGTGCAAATGCAAAACTCCAAAATCGTGAGTAGTTGGAAGGCTGACAAGCATGATTGGCTCATAGGATTCAACTTCCAAATACTTTGGGGTTTTGTCTGTTTGGTCAAAACCAATAATTTTTTAATTGATATTTATATTAAGATTGTTGTACCCAATTTTGTTGTTACTTTTGTTGAGGGACGGATCTGGGACCAGATTATATTTTACATAAATTTTTTTTCTAACTAAAAAAAAAAAACAGTTGGGAGAGGAGGGGGC